GAGAGGAAGGGAGAGAGATAGAGAGTTAGAAACATCGATGAGAGAGAAACATCGATCAGCTGCCTCCTGCACATCTCCTACTGGGGATGTGCCCGCAACCCAGGTACATGCCCTTGACCGGAATCGAACCTGGGACCTTTTAGTCCGCAGGCCGACGCTCTATCCACTGAGCCAAACCGGTTTCGGCCAAGATCTATAAAAATTTTAATCCCCTCTGATTTAAGAATTCCCACAGTGTTAAAAATAAAATATGTGTACATTTCTTTATCACAGTAAATAAGAAGTTACTGGCAAGTCTATCAATAGATAAAAGAGCCTTAAAAAAAAAGGTGTCACTAGGTTAGTGATGGTGAACCTATGACACTCATGTCAGAGGTGACACGCAAACTCATTTTTTTGGTATAGTTTTTTTGTTAAATGTCATTTAAATATATAAAATAAACATAAAAAATATAAATCTTTGTTTTACTATGGTTGCAAATATCAAAAAATTTCTATATGTGACACGGCATCAGAGTTAAGTTACGGTTTTTCAATAGTGTGTGTGTGTGTGTGTGTGTGTGTGTGTATGTGTGTGCACGCGCGTGTGTGCATTTATTAAAATGTATATATATATATATATATATATATTCTTAAGGTACCACTAAATAAGTATCTCAGTAAACATGACAGGAAATGTTTAATTTTTGTCTTCAAAAAGTATAGATTAAAACAGATTTGGAGGTCAGGGTTCAGTTTCTGTTCAGGGCACATGCACAGGTTGCTGGCTCAATCCTCAGTGGGGGGTGTGCAGTCAGGCAACCAGTTGATGTTTTTCTCTCATCGATGTTTCTACCTCTCTCTTCCCCTTCCTCTCTCTAATATCAATAAAATACACACATACATGTATACATATATAAATTATGGTTTTGAAAATCATATAGCTACATAGAAAAATACTTCTAGTATAATCTTAAGTGCAATTCTATTGGCTGCTATTTATTGAGTACATATGGGGTGCCAGCCAAAAGTTGGGTCCCTTTCATAGAACTCTCATCTTCACAACTCTAAAACAGTTACCAGCAGATGTGAAAAATAAGATTCAGATACGTACTTGCTTAAAGTCACTGGATAAGAAGCTAGGATTTGAACAGATTTTCCTGTCCTCAACCTGTTGTGCCCAAAGGAGGTATATACATAATTATTCTATGTAAAAGGAGCGATGTGGTGTGAAAATACCCAAAAATGCTATTTATTGAGTGTCTCTGGGGTGCCAGCCAAAAGTTGGGCCCCTTTAATAGGAAGTTACCATGGGTTGCAATGGGAGGATTATAGGTGTTTTGTTTTGTTTGATCTTTTATATTTCTCCAAACTTACTGCAATTACTTTTATATTTAAAAAGAAAATGTGGCCAAAACCGGTTTCGCTCAGTGGATGGAGCGTCGGCCTGCGGACTGAAGGGTCCCGGGTTCGATTCCGGTCAGGGGCATGTGCCTGGGTTGCGGGCGCGTCCCCGGTGGGGGATGTGCAGGAGGCGACTCTCATCGATGTTTCTGACTCTCTGTCTCTCTCCCTTCCTCTCTGTAAAAAATCAATAAAATATATTTTTTTAAAAAAAAAAAGAAAATGTGGAATACTAGAACCTTTACAACAGCAGAGCCTCAATTTCATGACATGCTATAAATCAGTAATGGCGAACCTTTTGAGCTCGGCGTGTCAGCATTTTGAAAAACCCTAACTTAACTCTGGTGCCGTGTCTCATATAGAAATTTTTTGATCTTTGCAACCATAGTAAAACAAAGACTTATATTTTTGATATTTATTTTATATATTTAAATGCCATTTAACCAAGAAAAATCAACCAAAAAAATGAGTTCATGTGTCACCTCTGACACACGTGTCATAGGTTCGCCATCACTGCTATAAATGTTCTTTTATTGGTACTGAAAGGTAGTTGGAACTATATAGAGTATATGCTGTAGAGAGTTGACTTGGTGTGAACATGTACCTGCTCACTAGCTCATCTTTATTCTTTTTTTTAATATATTTTTTATTGATTTTTTACAGAGAGGAAGGGAGAGGGATAGAGAGTCAGAAACATTGATGGTAGAGAAACATCAATCAGCTGCCTCCTGCACACCTCCCACTGGGGATGCACCCGCAGCCAAGGCACATGCCCCTGACCGGAATCGAACCTGGGACCCTTCAGTCCGAAGGCCTACGGTCTATCCACTGAGCCAAACCGGTTAGGGCACTCAATTTTATTCTTGCTCATCTTATCCCTTTAAGTAAAAACACTTATTGAAACAATAGCATCGATCAGCTGCTTCCTGCCTAACCCCCACTAGGGATCGAGCCCACCAACCAGGCGTGTGCCCTGACCAGGAATCAAACCAGCAACCTCTTGGTGCCCAGGTCAGTACTCAACTGCTGAGCCACACCAGCCAGGCAAGAGAAGTTGTTTTAATAAATTGTCAAATTATTTCCAGAAGTAACTTTGTATTTTCACCTATAGCAAATGAATATCTCAGTTTCACCACAGTATCATCTGCCGCTGTATTATCAGCAGATATACTTAAATAGTAACTCTAGCTTAATTCCTAGGGAGAGCATAATTAAAGATAGTTTGAGAAAAACAGCATTCAGACCTTTCCCTAGAACTGGGTTAGAGACCTGTTGCCTAAAGCATCATGTAAGTTGTTTCAGGGACGAATATAAAAATTTGAAGCACTAAATGGGTAAAATTCATATATCCTTTGAAAAGTGTCTTGTGCCTTCAGAACAAAGAGAAGCATTTCAGGACTAAATCACCACTGCTTATCAGCTTGGATTAGACTGAAAAAGGCTTGAATCCTAGTTTACCAGTGTCTCACATTTGGGGTTAACAGACATTTTCAAAGGCATTCAAGTAAATTATATGCTTCTTGATTGGATAGATAGAAATCCAACTCTTGGGACAATTGGAAAGATTGAATATGGACTGAATGTTAGATATTATGGGATTATTGTTCATTTTCTTAGATGTGATAATAATTTAATGGTTTTACACTTTGGAGATGCATGCTGAAATATTTAAAATCCTTCAAATGATTCTGCAAATACATATAGAGAAAACAAATATGGGAAAATGTTCTTGATTATAGTTGGAAGATGTACAGATGTTCATTGTATTCAATTTTTCTGCATGTATATCTGAAATTTTCTTTTAAAAGCTTGAGGAAAAGATAAATTTTTTTAAAAATATATTTTATTGATTTTTTACAGAGAGGAAGGGAGAGAGATAGAGAGTTAGAAACATCGATGAGAGAGAAACATCGATCAGCTGCCTCTTGCACACTTCCCACCAGGGATGTGCCTGCAACCCTGGTACATGCCCTTGACCGGAACCGAACCCGGGACCCTTCAGTCCGCAGGCCGATGCTCTATCCACTGAGCCAAACCGGTTTTGGCAAGATAAATTTTTTTAAAAAACATGTTAAATGTTTTTTTTTAAGTTTTGGTTTCAGTAAAATTCAGTTTCTTGAGCGTACCAGAATGATCAATATAGTAAGGGTGCAAAGAAAGTTCCACTAGTTTATTGCCAATCAAGAGGAATCAGCTTTAGGGACAGACCACAATGAATGTTAAGCAACAGAGTAACTGGTTAGACAACTGTTCTATCTAGGCCAAGAAGTCTCACGGGGAAAGAAATGCCAGTTTCTAATTTTTCCTTCTTCAACCAGCACAACAGATTTGTCCTGGACTGTAAAGACAAAGAGCCTGATGTGCTGTTTGTGGGGGACTCCATGGTGCAGTTAATGCAGCAATACGAGGTAAAGTGCAAGTGATAGGGGTGCTGTGGGCTACTGATGTAAGTGCATTCAGCAATAGCGGACTTGCATTCTGAGCTGGCACCCTAGAAAAGCCCTAGCTCAGAGCGGAAGGTAGCAGAATGGTGCTCCGTGCGCTAGGCATCATGAAACTAAAAGGTGGCATTGCTTATAAGTAAACTTTTTTTCTCCTTGGCTTCCAAGAAGCTTCACATTACATTTATTGTATTTGTCCTAGTCATGATTTTCAATTCTTATTTGTGTTTTACTATTTTCTTATTTGAATTTGCTCATTTATATTTGTCTTAGTCATGATTCTCAATTCTTACTATTTGTGGTTTATAATTTTCTTATTTTATGTATTTTTTAGTGAGCTGTTCCAAAAATAATATTTTTAAGGTTAGGCATTCTTCCAAGGGAAATTTAAAAGAGAAGAACTTTCTTTCTTTTTGGCTCCAGCACTGTAAATATCTTCATCTCGTGTTTCTATTTTACCCTATTCCTTTTCAGTGGTTCTCAACCTTGGCTGCACATTAGAATCACCTGGGAATCTTTTTAAAATCCTGATTTCTGGCCAAAGCCGGTTTGGCTCAGTGGTTAGAGCGTCGGCCGATGGATTGAAGGGTCCCAGGTTCTATTCAGGTCAAGGGCACATGCCTGGGTTGCAGGCGCGATCCCCAGTGGGGGCACCTGAGCTCATGCCCGATTCTAATGTGCAGCCAAGGTTGAGAACCACTGCTTTAAATGAGTGAATAAAAGGAAGGTAGAGTTAATTCATTTGGCAACTTAATTATAAGTATTGCTACCTCTTAAGGGGCAACAGGTTGAGTTGTAACTTTCTTGAGTTGAGAAGGAGTGCTGCACTCACTAAGAGCTGAGTTGTACAGTGGCATCTTCCAAGTCCTTCACCAAGTACACACTACTTGCAGTGTGTGTGTGAATGCAGAAAATGAGATTGTTATTTCAGGTCTTGTAGTACATTACAATTGGGGGATTTTATTTCCCACGAATTTTAGCTTAAATAAATCAAGTTTTTCTCTCTTCAGATATGGCGAGAACTTTTTTCCCCACTCCATGCACTGAATTTTGGAATTGGAGGAGATACAACAGGACATGTTTTATGGAGGCTAAAGAATGGAGAACTGGAGAATATTAAACCTAAGGTGAAATGAAACTTATTTTTTAAAGAATATCATTAATCTTGAGTCTTTTTCAGATAGTCAAATTGTCTGAAACTAGTGGTAAAGTTGCTTCTTTAAAGCATTATTTCACTGTTCTTTGGTTCATGCCCCACTAAGATGAATGATTGTTATTGCTTAAGAACATTCCAAATAAACATTTAAGAAATCAGCCCTAGCCAGTTAGGCTTAGTGGATGGAGCACCGGCCCAAGGACCGAAGGGTCAATTCCTGTCAAGGACATGTACCTGGATTGCAGGCTCGATCCCCGTACAGGAGGCAACCAATTGATGTCTCTCTCACATCAGTGTTTCTCTCTCTATGTCTCTCCCCCCCTCTTCCACTCTGTCTAAAATTCCTTGAAAAAAATATCCTTGGGTGAGGATTAACCAAAAAAGGGAAAGAAATCAGTGTACGTGCTTTAATGGTATTTGTAATTGTTACACTCTTCAGCTATAGGGAGAGAGGTTAGCTAATGAGATGTGCAAGTCTGTGAACCTGAGGCAGTGTGTGGGATAAGCTGCTCAGAGGTGGGCCATGGGAGCAGGGCCAAGATTCGCCTCCGGAAGTGATTTGGAGCTGTTTCACCATATAAGCAAATTGGTAATCAACGCCTCCAAGATCTTCTGAAGAACAGATTTGAAGCAGATGTGAGCAAAGGTGCACCATAAATGTACCTAGTACCTTATCTAAACTAATAAAAGAGAAAAATGGTAATTGGCGTACGACGCTACCCTTTTCATTGGCTAATCAGGGCTATATGCAAATTAACCGCCAACTCAGATGGCAGTTAACTGACAACAAAGATGGAGGTTAATTTGCATATGTAGGCACAATGCAGGGAGGCGAAAGGGAAAGCAGGAAGAAGTCCCCTGCCACTGACAGTGATTGGAAACCCAGCGGGGAGCTAAGAGCCGGGGGTCAGGGCAAAGGCCGCCTTTGCCCTGCCCCCCAGCCATGATCGGAGAATCAGGCGCCTTTGCCGCCCTGGCCAGTGATAGCAGGAAGTAGGGGTGGAGCCAGCGATGGGAGCTGGGCATGGTCGAAGCTAGCAGTCCCGGGAGCTTAGTCCCTTGCCTGGGCCTAAAGTGGAGCCCACAATCGCGGGGCAGCTGCAGCTGCGGGTCCCCGCTGCCCAGGCCGGACGCCTCGGCCAGAGGTGTAAGGCCTGGGCAGGGGTCGAG